GTATAATTTCAAAACGGGGTATAAAATACTCCGCTGGCTAGGCCTCAGATCCCATACTCTAAATGGACTTTAGCACCTAAAGCCCTAACACTTGGAAGCTGGGACCCTCAGGGAAAAAGTATCAACTAAGGGCTTTAGAGTAACCCAAAACCCTGAGCCTCGATTCCACACCCTAAACTATTAAACCCAAAACCCTAGCTATGATTCACGAACGCGATAGATCTCAACACTCCTCCCAAACCCTAAACCCTTAACCCGAGGCCCTTCGGGACTAGGATGTGGGGGTCTGGGTCTCTAGGCGAAGCCAAACTTAAGTCCCAAACTCGGCCGAAGAACACAGCCGAAGCCCTCGCCTTGACTGTTTCTAAGTTCCCCTAAACCCTGAACCCTAAACCCCTAAACCCTAAATCCTAAACCCTAAATCCTAAACCCTAAACCCTAAACCGTAAACCCTAAACCCTAAACCCGAATTCTAAATCTGAACCACCCTAAACCCGGATTCCTGGACCGCAAGGCACCCAATCCAACATTCAGATTTAGATAGTTGAACCACAGCCCTGGTCAGTGCCGAACTTTTGGTTCTGAGCGAACGATTTTGGGGTTTAGGGTTTAGGGTTTAGGGTTTAGGGTTTAGGGTTTAGGGTTTAGGGTTATGAACTCGGGCCTAATGGCGATGGCCTGTGTCATCGTGCCTTTCCAGGTCAAGCAACGCCGGCCAGGGCACCAAGACAAGCCCACGCTGCTGTCCTGGCCGCCCTCCAGGATTTCGTCGATCGCGACACCTCTTCACCAACAGTGTGGAACTGTCTGTGGCTGCTCTGATCTTTGGATCCAGCGTGGGGCTTCCGCCTTGCAAGATCTCACAGGCACCGGTTCAAGCCAATTCCAGCGGAGCCCCCACTTCGATGGCTGGGGCATCATGTTTCGGAGTGGCACTTGGGTCGATGTCGGGCAGCAACAGTAAAAAGGAGCACAGCGAGCTGTCTTTGCAGCGGCGAAAGTCCTCTTGCTTGCAAAGGACCAACGAGAAAAGTTGCTGAAGACGATCCGAACAAACCTTCCTGCAGAGTCCCAAACCCTAAACCTTCAGCTCCCTAATTAAGCTCCAAGCCCTAAACCCTAAACTCCCTGTTCTGAACCCCCACTGCAGAGTCCCAACATCATAAAATTAGCAGCCCGTTGGGCCTAAAGCCACGACACCCTAAAACCGAAACTCCAAGAACCCCCGAAGCCGAACACTCCAAACCCTAAGCCCAAAACCCCAAAGATGCCCAAAGCTTTGGAAACCCGCCAGGTTCGGACGAGAGAAGCCCTGTGAAACATTCTGAATTGTTTAGCATGGTTTAGGGTTTGGGGTTTAGGGATCCCGTTTTTTTGGGGTCCTTTCGGGGGGATCTGAAATGGAGTCTTAATTCAGAGAAACTTAAAACCCCTTACGAGCCCCCCATCCTTCCAAAGACAGACCCAAAACTGAATGCACATCTGTCTGAAACCGGGGGTTTGGTAAACTCGACTCTATTGTAAGGGTCGGAAGACTTCGTGACCCTAAACCCTAAACCCTAAACCGAAGACTTCGTGATTTGATCCCCTTTTGCACATTTTTGTGACTGCCGAGCCGAGGAGCTTGCTGAAACCAAGAAGACCATCGAGGAGTTGCAAGACGTTGCTCCTTGGCCTGTCTTCTGTTGGGGGTTTAGGGTTTAGGGTTTAGGGTTTAGGGTTTAGGCTTCTGCGGGTTCATGGCTTCCAGCGTCATACGGGTCGGATAGGAGCTTCAAGTATTTGTTTGCAGGTGTTTGGGGTTTGAAGCTTCAGGCTTTCATTCGGGCTTTGATGTAGACACCTTAGACTGACTGTCTTGAAAGCCTTCAATATAAGGGTCCCTCGTAATGACTCGTAATGGTCCTTATTGACAAAGGGCTCGTAGGGCCAGTTTCAGCCTTGGTCGTCACAATCAGAGCTTCACGAATATTTATCTTTGTTCCGGTGTTTTGTGAAGGGGGGCCTTTGTTCTAGAAGTCATGTCGAAATTCCTTTCCACGCCTAGCCACCCAACCTAAGCTGCGGAATGCTAAACCTCAACCCCCAATCCCTAAACCTTACAGTAATCCCTAAACCCTATACAGAAACCAGTAATCCCCAAACCCTACTCCGTAAATCCCCAAAACCCTCAACCCGAAGCCCTACATAAACCCGAAACCCTTAACCCTAAACCCCTAGTCCCTTAATCCCTAAACCCTTAAACCCGAAACCCTTGTAATCCCTTTAAAGGTCCAAGTACATAATAAGAACATACTCCCAACTAGTAACCTAGATAACTACTATCCGCAACCAAAGTACCTGATTTTTGGGTCCTTTGGACCCTAAACCCTAAACCCTAGACCCTAAACCTAAACCCGCTTCTCCAGGGCCTACCATGCCAACTACAGCTTTTTATTGGGTCCTTCGGACCCTTTAAGGTAAACCCAAACCCTAAACCCTAAACCCTAAACCCTAAACCCTAAACCCTAAACCCTAAACCCTACAAGCCAGCAAATTTCGGGCCCAGGTCAAGATGCACGAGGCCACCATCGGCCTGAAGGATGAAGAGCCTCGGGTGTCCTTTAGATTTATAGGGCCCTTCTAGGGGGTTTAGGGTCTGAGGTTTAGGAGTTTAGGGGGGGTTAGGGGTTTAGGGTTTGGGGGTTTAGGGTTTCGGGGCTTAGGGGTTTAGGGTGTATAGGGGTTTGAGGTTTGAGTGTTGGGTGTTTTGGGGGTTGGGTGTTTAGTTTTCAGGTTCTAGCTGGTCGAGGGTTACGGAAGTAGGGGTGGAGGTTCAAAGCTTCGGGTGTGGGGTTCAGCTATCCGGCTGCAGGCTGGGCGCGGGTACTGGGGTGAAACCGGCCAGGGCAAGAGCGTTCGGGAATTTTGGAAGCTCGAAATCCTATACCCAAAGCGCCTTAAGCTCAGTGTTTTTTGCTGCTCTCAGACAGTTTTCGGGCTTTGGTTGGGACTGTATGTTTTCGCTTCGGGAACATTGGGCCTGATGATTGGGAAGATCCGTTTAATAGTGTTCGGATGCCCATTGGGGATGAAACCGGAATATCCCCAATTGCGGTTTAGGGTTTAGGGTTTAGGGTTTAGGGTTTAGGGTTTAGGGTGTAGGGTTTAGGGTTTAGGGTTTAGGGTTTAGGGTTTAGGGTGAATATCCCCAATTGCTTGATGCATTCTTTTGAGCTCTTCCTTTAAGAGCCCTCTCAGGAATCTTTTGGAAGGAACCTTAAACCCTCAACCCCAAACCCTAAACCCTAAATGCCAAACGCTAAACCCCCAACCCTAAACCCCAAACCCAACCCTAAACCGTCAACCCCAAACCCTGAGCCACAAAACCCGTTAACGCCTATAGACCCTATGGAGCCTAGGTCTCCCAGCATGATACGAACCCTAGGCCCTAAACCCTAAACCCTCAACCCTGGGCCCTAAAACTTCAACCCTGAACCCGAGCTCCTAAACCCTAAACCCTAAACCCTAACCCCTAAACCCTAAACCCTGAAACCCGAAACCCTAAAGCCTAAAGCCTAAACCCTGACCACTAGGACCTGAACCCTAAACCCTCAAACATATTCCAACTACCCCCAAGGTAAGGGCAATTTTCCGGGCCGAAATGGCCATTTTCTCACGAAGGCCGGGCCAGATTCCAAAGAACCCCGCCCATGGCCCGGCCTTCGTGGGAAAAGGACCCATTGTCTCATGAATGAACTAAGGTGTACATAATACATATTTTAAAGACTGTTTAGGGTTTAGGGTTTATTAAAGCCCGCCTTAGCTTCCAATCACCGAGGAAATCGAGGCCGAAAAGTCTCGTGCAAACCTGGCGGAAACCATTTCGCAGACTCGTCAAGGCCGTGGGTGTTGAGGGTGCAGGGTTTACCAGTTTAAGGGTTTAGGGTTGCGGCTAAGGGCTGACGGTGTTCTGACGTTACGGGTTTCGGGTTGCAGGGGGCAGTGATTTGTCTTGGGGCCTCCTAAACTCCATACCCTAATTTACGACTTGAGGGCTTGAGGTTTTGTGATTTATTTGTTTGGGTTGTCCACTCTCTCCTAGCAAGAAATGGAACAGACTATGTCAGCAAAGGGTCGTATTCCGGAACCATGCCCTTTTTAGTTTGCTGGTATTGTTGACAGTAGCGCATCTAGAGTATGCGATACGGCCACTGGACACCTCACGAGAACGAACATTGAACAAAACTTTCGTGCAACCTAAAGCTTAAAGAACCCTAAGCCCGAACAACCCTGACCCCCACACCCTAAACCCTAAACCCCAAACCCTATACCCTAAACCCCGAACCCTATAAACCCTAAACCCTAAGGGTCCAAAGGACCCAATAATAAGGTACTTTGGTTGCGGACAGTAGTTTTTTAGGTTAATATTTGGGAGAGTATATTACTATTAGGTACTTGGACCCTTAGGGTAAACCCTAAAGGCTTGAAGACAACCCTTCCAAAGCAGCGCTTTTGATACCCTCCCATGTCATTTGATAGCCGAATCTAGGGGCCTTAATAACTACCTATAGTAGTTGTGGGGGCTCCTTATTATATTTATAGTATAATCGGCCCCAAAACCCTGATTATTCTAATTATTCCCCTAAGGGTCCAAATGACCCAATAATCAGGTACTTTGGTTTCGGACAGTAGTTATCTAGGTTAATATTTGGGAGAGTAAATGATGATTAAGGACTTGGACCCTTACGGTTAAGGCCCCCATATTAGGGGGTCGACCCCCAACCTGAATCCGAAGCCCCATCTTAACCCTCTCAGCCCCATACCCCGCACAACCCATATGAAACCGGTATATACAAGCCTGGTAGCACCCTTCTAGAGCCCTGTAGAACCGGTGGTAGATCCCTAAATCAAGAGCCCTGAACCTTAAACCCCTGATATTAACCCTAAACCCTAAACCCTAAACCCTAAACCCTAAACCTAAACACTAAACCCTTTTTATAGAGCCAGGTGAGGTGGAGATGGCTCAGAAGCTGGCAGAGAAAGCCAAGGCTGCGTTGCAAAGCGTGCGCCAAGAGCTGCATGGCTGTTGATTCCACAGAATCATAACCTACCATGTAATGTTGCGCACGACTCTTTTGTATACTATCATGCAATAGAATCTGCTATTCTGCGTTCTCTAGTGTTTTTTTGTCGGGTGACGGGGTCAGCTTAGCAGCAGAAGTGATTGAGTGAGTGTTGGTATCTGTTGAACCGACCTGGTGGGTTAATGTTTGATGTTTAGGGTTTAGGGTTTACGGTTTAGGGTTTAGGGGTTTAGGGTTTAGGGTTTTTCATGATAGCTGATTGTAGGCGTGGTAGGTTGAACGGGCTTCTAGACATGGCTGGTAGGGTTTAGGGATGTTTGGGGTTTGGGTTTGGGGTGAATTGGGGATTCAGGGTTAAGGGTTGAGGTTTTTGGGGTTGAAGGTTTAAGCTTTAGGGTTTAGGAGTCGTGGATTGCTTGTTGCTGGGGTTGTACATTCGCTTCTCATTACTCCAAAAAGGTTAGTTAGTTCCGCAAAAAAAAGCATGGACGAGCAAGCTGTAATATAGACGCCTGAATAATTAGTGCTTCTGATTCTATTTCGGACAGCCCCTTGTCGTAATATACCCTCCCTCGCCCATCTTTAACTATTATGGCACCTATACAGTATGTTGTAAATGTATGTATACATACATACACATATACAGAGAGAGGGAGAGCGACAGAGTGAGAGAGAGAGGGCGGGTTTTGGGTTTAGGCATTTAATTTGAAGCTTAAGTGCCTTCCGAATCCCAAACTCAAGGCCCGAAGTATTTAACCTTGAACACAAATCTTCAACCCTAAATCCCGAATCCTGGCCCTAAACCCGAAACCCTGGCCCCAAGCCCTAATATAGGGGCTTTCTACTTGATTTTTTACCTATACTATTTTGAGGGGCTCCTTATTATCATTATAGTATACTATACCCCCAAAACCCTATTTCAATTCATCAGTCCCCTACATTAATCCCAAACCCCTATAACCCTTATTATAAGTAAACTGTACTATAATATACCCCAAAACCCTATTCTAATTATCAAGGCCCCTTCTTTAATCCGAAATCCGAAACCCCTAAACCCTAAACCCTAAACCCTAAACCCTAAACCCCTCACCCCTGAGCCTCTACTTAGATTGCGGCTGTATCTGAGGCTCACGGCCGAATGCTCCGCGGCTAAGGCCCAGGTCGAGGCGCGAATTCAAGCAGAATAGGGCTTCTTAAAGGTTTAGGGTTTAGGGTTTAGGGTTTAGGGTTTAGGGCATACCTGGACCCCCCCCAAAGTATGTAGAATCATAGCCTTTTATAGGTTTTGGGCAACTAATTATTTGACCTACTTTGGGGGATCTAAGTATACATACATACATATATATATATATATAGATAGATAGAGTATACACTTAGATCTTAAAGGGGTTCCTATGTATGTACGCATATATGTATTTCACCTGGAGCCTCATGGTTTGGGGGGTATACTATTATACGATTATTGAGGAACTCTAAGGAGTAGGACAGTTATATGGGAACTGTAAGGGGGTACTAGCTCCTGTTGGTTAAGACTATTATACAGCTTCCTATAGCGAGTGATGGACCAAGTACTTTTCATGATGCAAGACATCGCGGAATGCATCGGTTACAAAACAGCTACGCCCCTGAACCCTAAACCCCTAAACCTTACACCCTCAATCCTAAACCCTACACCCTAAACCCTGCACCCTAAACCCCCAAACCCTAAACCCTAAACCCAAACCCCCTAAACCCTAAACCCTTACCCCTAAACCCTTACCCCTAAACCCCAAACCCTAAGCCCTTACCCTGATAAGTCAAGTCTTTTGTCATGGTGGAGGAGTGTCGGGGTTGACAGGGTTGCTTGTAGGGTGCAAGAAGGAAGTTCTCTAAAAATAGGGTCCCTTTCCGGTCCTTTTATAAGGGTGCCGTACTACCTAAAAGAAGGGACCCTACTCTAGAGGACTACCCAAGACTGCATTTCTCAACAGTCTGCGGCAGTTTGTGATGGGGTTTGCTCTGGGTTTTCGGGTTTAAGGTGTGTAAAAGCTAGGGTTCAACAAATTCGCGTTTAGGGCTTGCAGACCTAGCTTACCCGTAGAGGAGTAGGTAATCACCCCTTAGTTCGAGGGCAGAACCCTTACCACGGTAGGTTTTTGGTAGAGTTCAGAGCTAGAGGTTGGGGTTGAGTGTTTGGGTAGGCTGTTTGGGAGTTTGGCGGCAATCCTAAACTCCAAGCTCAATATCTCTGGATTCGGGGGTTTCACCTGTTTAGGATTTAGAATCTTCGGCTTGGCTCAGCTTGGCGTGTATTTGTGGAGTCTCCTCAACGTCTAGTATTCCAGGTGCACTGTTTAGGGCAGTTTTCGGGTTTAGGGTTTAGGGCTGGTTTCGGCAGTGGGTTCACGACATCCATATCATGTTGGGTCCTGAACTGTTAGATGACTTAGATGGGACTAGGCCTCATGAGGTTTCTGAAAAATATAGCTACAGTAAATGACCCTTGAAGCCCCAGTCTAATTATTTAGGCTTCTATTTTCGGGTCAATTATTGTTCCTGTGGAGTTGAACCACGGTGTTGTTTTACATGATGTTTCTGTGTTCACATGATGTTTCTGGGTTAGATCTGCTTAATCGTGTTAATACCTGAGGAAAGCTTCAGGCCTTTGTGAGTGAGGCATTGGATGGGGACAAGATGGTGAAAGTCGCTGAGAACATCCTAGACTCTCTGAAGGTGCACAACCTTCTGTCCGCCATCAAGCTCGCCCCGATGCTCGTCGGCATCCATCCCTGCAACAGGGATGGGTATGGGGGGAACCCTCAGGACGTGAGGGATCTCATCGATTCGATCGTGGACGTAGGGTTCGTCAAGGGCAAAGTCCATGCGGTGGGGGTCGAGGTGGAAGACCAAGGAGTGAGGCACCGGAACCAGCGGCTTTTCGATTCGGCGAATAGACTGATGGGCTCCGTCCAGTCGGAGGCACTGAAGATCACACCCTTTTGCGGGTCGCACACAAATGTGGCCATCCCTGTATAATCTTTCCCTCTTACCCCTTTCCCCTGAACCTTTCAGCCGACAAGCCCAAAACCCTCGTGCCTCAAGCCCTCTGGGTGCCGTAGGAGCCCGAAGCCTTGAGATACCTTTTTCTTCAGACTAAGTGCTTGAAGCCCTATGCGCTATAACCTCAAGGCCCTAGCCCCTCTATATACTGGATGCGATGATGCCTTAAATCCATTAGTTAAAACTCTCAAAAGCCCTTGCCGCCTTAAGCTACATAACCCTGTTGAAGCGCTAAGCCCGGAAGCCCTCTGAAAGCAACCCTAAGCCCGAAACCCGTGTAATGAAATCCTCAACCCATGTTTACGTAGCTCTTAACCCTACACCCGCCCATTTTTAAAAAAACCCTTAAGCCCAATGAAACCCTGAACCCTAAACCCTNNCCTAAACCCTAAACCCTTCTCAAAACATCTTAAAGCTGCTCTTAGCCCGACGTGAACCCCTAAGCCCTTAAAGAACCTACCTTTTGAAGGACTGGTAAAAAGAAGTCATATGAAAGAACCCTGGTGAAGGTAGGTTTATTGGGTCATTCGGCTTGGGGTCCAGATAGACCCCTAAACGCCTGAAGCACAACACCCCCAAGGCCCCATAAATCCTATCCGGTCCTATCCAAAAGCCCAAAACCCCCTAGATCCTGTCCAAAACCC